TACATGTTATATCGTAATGTTTGTGTGTATTGGATATGGTATACATGTTATATCGTAATGTTTGTGTGTATTGGATATGGTATAGATGTTATATCGCAATGTTTGTGTGTATTGGATATGGTATACATGTTATATCGTAATGTTTGTGTGTACTGGATATGGTATACATGTTATATCGTAATGTTTGTGTGTATTGGATATGGTATACATGTTATATCGTAATGTTTGTGTACTGGATATGGTATACATGTTATATCGTAATGTTTGTGTGTACTGGATATGGTATACATGTTATATCGTAATGTTTGTGTGTACTGGATATGGTATACATGTTATATCGTAATGTTTGTGTATACTGAATATGGTATACATGTTATATCGTAATGTTTGTGTGTATTGGATATGGTATACATGTTATATCGTAATGTTTGTGTGTATTGGATATGGTATACATGTTATATCGTAATGTTTGTGTGTATTGGATATGGTATATAGAGAATCTCACCCGAGTGTCTTTTGATATCAAATATATCACCACGAGTTGATAAAGTAACAAATATCCGAGGCTTGCCGAGGATATTTTTACTTTTATCAACGAGTGTTGATATATTTGATATCAGAAGACACGAGAGTGAGATTCTATTTATCATCCAAAATAACTCTTCATTAGTTTTCAATGAAAATGTACATCTTTGAACACAGTACTGCCATTAGATTTGCAGTGCAGCGATGTCATAGCATTGTGACGTCATCAAGTACATGACGTCATAGCATTGTCAGGGCATTGTGCAAAATCTACTGTCAAAACGATATCTCCTAGGAGATATCGTCTGATCTCACACAAGCGATATCTCCTGTGGAGCACAGTTTTGGATGATAAACATGTTATATCGTAATGTTTGTGTGTACTGGATATGGTATACATGCTATATCGTAATGTTTGTGTGTATTGGATATGGTATACATGCTATATCGTAATGTTTGTGTATATTGGATATGGTATACTTGTTATATCGTAATGTTTGTGTATATTGGATATGGTATACATGTTATATCGTAGTTTGTGTTTAGGTTTGAGTTCATTGGTCAGAACCTCCTGGACACCAACAGAACTGGACGAGTAGAGGTGCTGGATATCCCCGTCAACGACCGCATTCCTGTTATACCCGGCGACGTGATCGGCATCCACTACTTCGATCCACTGATTGGTATTACCTTCACGGAGTGCAATAACGACCTCACCCCAGAGGCAGCCAACATGTCGTGGATTGACACACAAGTTTCAGATATGGACTACTTCACCCCCGGGCAAGACTACACGCAGGCAGACCAGGACAAGTGTTACATCATGTCCTTCAGAGCCACCGTCGGTCCTGTAAGTAGTAAGGGATGGACGAGGCAGCGAGCTGTCCACGTTTGTAGATACAGTCCCAGTTAAACGTTTGTGTTTATGTTGCAAACGTAAGGAAAAGCTTCACTTCTTGATCCATGGGACAGTTATAAACATACGTGGTGAACACAGATATACCTAATTATCTATCTCAGAGGTTCAGGACAATTTGTGCAAAGACAATGTCTATTGAAGTTTACCAAGAAAACAATATGTGAATTGCTGGACTTTCTCATGGACATCTTTGTCAAAGTTTGGGGTAAAGTGTTCGTTAAGCAGTTGGCATCCCAACGGGCAAAAATTGTGCTCCCCTCCTTGCAGAACTGTTTCCTTATGCACATTAATCATAATTTCTGTTTATTTTGGCAAAATCAAAACAAGGTAATTTGGTCCAATAACCATCAAATAGCCAACTGCCTTCCATTGATTTACCCATCTGAAGTTGAAATTAAGGAGACAAGTGAGACCGCTTCAGCTGTTTCATATTTAGATCTATGAATATGGATCAGACTGACAAAAAGCTCTCCACAAGGCTGTATGACAAAAGGATAGTTTCTGCCTTCCATAGGTCAACAGGAATGATTCTTTATCGATAGACAACTTCTTCTATTGCATTTGATACAGCGTTCGGTGTACAGTCCGTTTGGCTCAAAAGCGGACCGATGAATTGCAATCTAACTCGAAAACTAATAAACATAAAATACTCAATGAAACGCTGATCATAATCAAAACATCATACCCACTCTGTGAGGTTTTTGCAGATTTTTTGTCCTAAAAATTAAAAAGTTGTTTAACAAAATATCATTACAATATTGACACAGTTCACAGTTTGTTACGAGGGGGGAGTGCAGAGAAAGGGACAGCCAGGTGTTCGAGAAGCAGGTTCACAGACAAAGTTATTTATTCATTAACCTGTGCGGTGCCGTCTCCATCCGTTCTCGAACACCTAGCTGTGTATTTTATGTTTATTAGTTTTCGAGTTAGATTGCAATTCATCGGTCAGCTTTTGAGCCAAACGGACCATAGATGCTAACACCGTCATCAAACATGCGACGTTTCGGTAAAGAGGTGTCAGCACCCTTATCAAGCAAGTGGTGACTTGCAATAAAGATTTTGTCCTTGTCCATAAAGAATCGTTACTCTCCATCATACCAACGTTCAAATACCACTCAAAGAAGAAACAAATACATACTCATGATATAGTCACACCTGTACAATCGAGTCTGCTGTCAGCAAAAATGTCTTGTGGACGTGGAAAGGGTTTTCTATTCTGTAAATTACATAATGCAATCAATGCCATTTTAATCTGTGAAATATATTGCCCGAGTCGGTGAGGATTACTAGTACAATGAAAACCTCCACAAGGGTTGCGATTTCAGCGCTTTAGCCACTGAGACAATTCGGGCATGAACGTATTGTACGGGACTGGCTATTTGACTATTTGGGAGGGGCTGTAATTTTGCAGGTTTTGGCGACTGGATATTTTGTCGGATACAACTTCACAACAAGATATTCTATACAATATTTATTTTGACAAGAACATCTTGCAACAGTGTAGCAGATAACTTCTATAATTGCCAGAGTGTGAAGCGTCATGTTATTTTTCAAGCAAACTCTGGGACAATATTTTTAATCACATCCAAGACCCTTACCATTCCTCCCCAAATCCTCCCGATATCCCTGATAGATTAAAGGAACCTCCTGGCATGTCTTTTTCGTAATATCACCGACATATCTGCATAGGGCGTTGTTTGTTGACGAAGGTACTCTCGTGTGATGTTCCCCCTGCCTCGCTCAACGCCATCTTGGAAAACACAACCAGCCCCGTGCCACGATTTACGATGGTCAACTACACGTGCAAAGACGGCTTTGAACAAGTGAGCGGAGACACGCTGAGGAACTGCACCGAAGATGGTGAACTGGACGGCGAGGAGCTCATCTGTGCAGGTTGGTCCGATAATATTCATGTGCATGCGTGTGCGCGTGTGCGCGTGTCGCATGCGCGGGAATCGTGTGGCTGCTCGGTGAGCAATTAGAATAGTTATTATCCGTCAGCGCATTGAAATGTGTCTCTTCTTTCAATGAAAACAATTGTTAAAATAATCATGTCGTCAATTTTTATCACGCATGTCCACCTAGAGATTACTCATGTCAATTGTGTAACAGGTGTTGTCACGATGGTCAGGAAAGCATTGTGATACAGTCTCACTGAAGAGGGATATTCTGTGAGATATTGCTTGACCTTTTCCAAGAGATGTCTCCCTTTGAAGCCATTTTTTGGATGATGAAGTATTTTTTCAGAATTTTTGGAAACAATTACACATTGTTTTGGTTTGTTTTAAGAATATGGGCTTGGTATGATCTGGTTTAATCTTTTAATCTGCTGGCACGATACATGTACTAGTGATTGTGGGTCTTAGCACAGCAGTAAGTGTCTACAGGTCACAGGCTCGATTCCCAGATTTGTACAGACTACAATTCATTGTCATTTAAACATCATACGAAAGAAATGAATGAGCATCACTGACTCACAATGTAATTCCAATTAATACCATTTTAGACCCAAAGCCAGTGACCCCGAGTAACGACGTGGACCTTATAGCGCGTCCTAACGAGGGTCGCAAGTACTGCAGCTACGTGGGCGACAACGACCTGATGAGAATCGACAGAGATGGTGAGGTTGTGCAGTGGCAGTTCTTTTCGACTAGACCCGGGAGAGCGCTGATGCAGGTCTGGAGACCACGGCCTGATAACGGAACCCGAAAGTATGTCTGCTTTCAATAAATGTAAATTAATTATATAGACTATTTCTTTGACATAACAACCCGATCAGTTTCCAACGTTGACAATCTCTGTCATCACCGAATATTCAGTCTACTGTAATCCAATTTTCCATTGTGTTAGGATAAATACTCTTGACTCGTTCAGAGACATATCTCAGTTTTGAGTCCAGAAAGATGACTTGATGGTACAAATAATCATCCAATGAAATTGCATTCCTGCAATAGAAATTCTCTGAAATTCCTGGGCCGAAGGTGCTGAAAAATGAAAGTGAATTGCTCCTCGGTATTTAATAAAATGAAATTCGGGATAGTAACACTTTTATGTGGACACGCCTTGAATTGGGACACAGTGAACTCCACTGGTTCTTACTGTCACATTCATATTCCATACCAGACTGTATCAAGTTTACTCAGAGACAGCGCCAGAATGATTACTTGAGTGCATGAAACATTTAGCCTGATATACAAGAAGTAGCCTAAGGAACCTGTAAATGTTCTAAAAAAGTGGTGTCATGTCAGAGATATATTCAGGACTTGAAGGGATGCTGTTTCTTGCCCTTCATCAGCTGAAGGTTCATGATGAAGATGCAAGAGGTATCCTTGAAACGCCTCACAAACAATGGTGAAGTTGATAGCTGTAAATGTTATACACGATCTTTAAAAAAATTAGTTCCGGATTACCATTTTCATGATGTTGTTCTATTTAATGTCTGGTTTAACCGCCTACTTCACCTCACATCTGAACGTATCCCCTGGCTAGATTCGAGTTCATCGGCCACAACCTGGTGGACAGTGAGGTGACCGGTCAGGTGGACACACTGGACGTTCCTGAGTATGAACGTATCCAGGTGAAGAAGGGAGACCTGATCGGCATCTACTACTTTGACCCCCTCCCGGGATAGGTTTCTCCGAGTGCAGACGCAACCAGCAGCCAGAGGCGTCACAGATGTCCTGGATCACCACTAAAGCGAAGAAGCCCTCCTTCTTTGTGAGTGGGGAGATATACGACCAGGCGGACAAGAACAAGTGCTACATCATGTCCTTCAAAGCCATGGTCGGACCTGTAAGTACCCTACCCCGGCGTGAGTGGGTGTTTTATGCGTATCAGTAATGTATAAGACAAGGAACACAAGAGTTCCAAATGTGCCATCGAGGATTTCTAAATCGAACGTAAGTGGTGATTGTATGGGCTACAAGATTGCAGTCTGGAACCTATGTCGAAGATTCCAATCCTGTTCTCCGCTGGGCAATGTATTTCATACTGTTCATAAAAGGCAAACAGTGCCATTTTAAAATTTACGTTGTAGGCGCATTTATCGAAGAATAACAATCACAAATTGTATATACGAATACAGAATAAGTGTTTAAGACTGACGGTAACTTGAATTTTACAAACAGGTATCATCACTTTTGAATTAGATATGCGATTTGAGGGTGTCTAATATTTAACGCCTTGACTTTGTGTCACCCTGAAACCTCTCAAACGATGACAGCTGTTATTTGCATGTAAACAATAAGGGTCGGTCATCTATATTCGATGCCGACTGCTATCCAAATCAGGCCTGATCATGACCATCAGTTCAGTTATATTAGCTGCCACTGATATCCACTGCAAACATGACCCTGTTTCCACAGTTACAAATATTACTTAGCTTACATATGACAACTTTTGCCAACTTTTGCCGTTGGGTACACATTCCTGAGAGTTGTGACACTAAAGTGACAGGATCCAGAGATCATAGGTCTGAGTCCTTGTTCGACTCTAACCTTTCAACGACATTATGAGTGTCTTCGGTCTGGGTTATTGTCTTTGAACTGCTCTGTTCAAAGCAACGACAACAACTGGCATACAATGGTGTATGAATTGTGATGAAATGGTTTGGAATTGAATAGCCATAACATTATCGCGCGTGATGTAAATATATATATATATATATATATGTATATATATATAAATATATATATATATATATCGATGTTACTTTGCCATGAGGAGTGGGATATAATTACTACATCACAGATATGATGACCACCATACGGAAAATGTTTATATAAACCTATTAATGAACGGGTATGTATACATCTGAAGGCGAGGCAATACCAGCTCTACCGCACAAACTGGCTTCCACTGATCAGTCGTAAGAACGTTGGATCCAAGAAGAAGGTTTATGCCGGAATCAACGCAAACTTCGTGATCGAACATGATGGCGAGATCGTCCAGTGGAAGTTCTACTCGAAATATGTGGGGGACATCGCGCTGCAAGTGTGGCGGGAAGTGGGAATAGATCAGTGAGTTTTGTTGAAGACGTCATCACATTCCGCTAAACTTCACATCGATCTCATGTTTTAACATCTGCACAACCAAAATGGTTTCATTTCTAGGAAATGTTCCTTGCTCATAATATCGATCACTTGTTTGTCCAAATGTCACGACATCGTCGTCATAAGCTGGACTATTGATGAGATAAGCAAGAACCTAACATGGTTTCGTTTTACTCCAGATACAGTCTTGTTGGACAGAACATAGTGGAGACCATCGACAACGACGTCCAGGTGGTCAACGTCAGCTCCAGCGACCGCATCAGCGTGGAGGCTGGTCAGCTGATCGGGGTGCACTACGGCAAGAACAAAGGCGGCCTCTGTTACAACAGATGCAACAGCAACAAAAACCCAGAGGCATATGACGTGAGCTGGATGGAACCTACTATAGCTAATTCTTCACTTATTACACCAGGTAAATATGACTGAGCGAATGTTGTTTTGCGCTGATGTCAGTACTAAGAAAGGGACAGGAAAGTGACTGAGATAACGTTGTTGGATTTTGTATGAAAGAAAAGCTGATATGAGGATCTGCTTCTGCAACAAATTGTAATGTTTGCTGTGATTTATGTATACCAAGATATGATTAGTTGACATAAAGATTTGATGACCCGTTACAGGTGCGACGACATGGAGAGTGTGTGAACTTGTGACTAACGCAAGTGTGCAATCTTTATTATTGCAGACATGGTGTTCACTTTCCAGCTTAGCAGTTGCAAAATATTCTCTCTCACTGCCTTCATCAAACCAGTAAGTATATGTCCCTGTTTGTGTAATTGTATTCCAGTCCAATAACCTTGGATACATCGATATCATCTTTGGTCGTTGGTGGTTACAAAACTTTGAGGCAGTGTCATGCAGCCATATAGTCAAAGACCATTGGGTCATGGTCGTCCAGAAATATAGTCACAGACCATTGGGTCATGGTCGTCCAGAAATATAGTCACAGACCATTGGGTCATGGTCGTCCAGAAATATAGTCACAGACCATTGGGTCATGGTCGTCCAGAAATATAGTCACAGACCATTGGGTCATGGTCGTCCAGAAATATAGTCACAGACCATTGGGTCATGGTCGTCCAGAAATATAGTCACAGACCATTGGGTCATGGTCGTCCAGAAATATAGTTACAACATATTTTGTCAATGGCCTCAATTCACGTTTCCAAGCTAAATATTACAGCAGCAGGGACTCTTGGAATCATTTTGTACTAGTAGGTTACAGAAACTCTTTGTGTTTATTGTTTGTAGGTGGAGTGATGCGACGTTGCCTCCGACTGACTCTTTCTGCAAACTCCAGAGAAATAAACGAATCGAAAGCACTTCCGTAGTGTTCTGTTGTCTTGACCCTCAGTGGTGACCCCAAGATTTGTTGTCCATAAAGAAGGTGTTGTGCGTCAGTTTTGGGGTGGAGTAGCCCAGCTGATGCAGGTCTGAAGACTATCAGGAATATTGGAACGGTTTAATACGAAATACATACCTACGATGTTGTTTCTGTTGCAGTCTCGGGTTGTGAGGGCGATAGCAGTAGTAGTCGTACTCGTCGTCGTCGTCGTCGTCGTAGAAATAGTAGTAGTAGTAGTGGTAGTAGTAGTAGTAGTAGAAGTGGTATTACTACTACTACTGCCAACGTGTGAGAGAATCCTACATACAAGCCAACACTCTGATCAGATACAGTCCTTATCAAACAGTTATAAAGGACTACCAGTGTACGAAGTGAAACATATACATACTTGTAGCTGCACCACTCTCTATCATACGTTTTACCATAGTATTGATCACAGTTCAGGACTGATAACATACAAAACAAGAATTACTAGCAAGCAATTTGACTAGATTACTATGAACACAAATCACACACATTCAAGTAAGTTAAAGGCCATACGTTGAATATATATACAGATGTGAATACTTCAGATGCATCATCAACGTACTTATAATACGTGTATGTATATCATGTTATAGTTTAATGTACACTCTATATAACAACCAAACTGTATCATTATTTACTATTAAAACGAGCAACTCATTAACACATGCTCTGTCATTACATTTGAGTGCAACTAACTGGTAACAAACTACAGCGGATGACATGCATTTTTGAAAAAGACCAATAAAGAGAGGCACCTGAAGAGGGCTATCGTTCAGACACTGAATACAATGATATAGCATTAATAAAGTAAAATAGATTAAATACACACAAGCACAGACAACTGTTGGCACTATATAACAAAACAAGTCGTCGTTTCCAGATCAGTAAGACCTAACATGATATTAAAATGATCAGTTTACAAGAAATAAAATCACGGAAATCAGCCCTAATAGTTTCGAGATTGCAATACAGGCGCATTTTATCACATGCACACATTAAAGGTTGACAATACACATATGGACAAATAACACTGTACATGTAGTTGGCAAATGATCCGTCTCCTGACAAGTCGCTGGATTGCCTTTGACAAACGCCTATAGTGGCCGGTGCCTTCCTCGACTGCCTTCATCACAGAGATCACTAGTGGTACTTCATGAACAAAGAGTGGCACACTTTCCCTGTATTGTGTTCTTGGCAAACAAATGCGTTCGGTGTTAAGCTTGCATACACTGCTGACTTCATAGAATAAATAGAGAATTCCCGACCCATTCCTCTTGTCGAACCAGGATCAATTGTCTACACGCCTGACGAACCTTTCCCACGACTCTACTATTTCACTTGTTGTGGGTTCGAAGGTGAGATTGGTGCTCCAGCTGATCGTGGATCCATCAGTCAGCATCATCTCCTCGCTGGGACACTTTAACATGTCTCTACATCGCAGTGCACTGTCTGCACCTTAGTGCACTATCTGTAGTATTATGACAATAATCCTGTAACCTTTTGACATAACGGCAACTGATAGTAATTCCGTACTCTACTGTTAATTCAGTACTCTAAATTGATATGGCTGAAATACCCTGACAGCAGTACTGTTCAAGAGAGCGTTCAATGAGACAGTCACCTATCGCCTTCAGAACTAAGACAAGACGTTAACCCAGAAATCTAAACACGGAGGAACTCAGTGTTAAACCAACAGAAAATACATGTAAAATGAATGTTACACGCCAAATGTACACTTTTCAGAGAGGTACATAAAATACGTGATCTAGACTACCATTGGTGAGACTTCCAAGTTTGTGGAAGCTGCGATGCCAGAGTTAGTAGCATCGCTAACTTTGTATGCTGCTGATTTGGTGCCTCTCTCTGACTGCATGGGTTCGAATCTCGAATGGGACTTAACCAAAAGCGTACGAAATGGTAATTGGAAAGTGTTATCGAACATATATCACGTTACACTCTACAAGTGTGGCTTAATGCAACCAGCTTTGTAGTTACAAGCGGGCCCTGTAAAGGTTATATAATTGTATCGGTCTATCGCTAGCAAGTCATAGGCCTATCTGATCTGAAACTGACACAAAGTACTGAGATAGAAACAAAGGAATCTTGTATATTATAGCAGTTTAGAAAATACTAATGTTGTTACAAATAATGAACAGGTCTCCCAATGCAGCTGCACCGTCCTGGTGACACGGGGTCTATACATTATATCGGCGTGTTGAACCTATCCGCAGACACACTATCACACTGTCTGTCACACTGTCACACTGTAGGTCAGACTGTAGTGAAAATCCCTCAACGCATTCAGTCATAATGTCACTTAACCTGCATTCATTGACACTTTTGTTGGCATAGGTTATGTGCGATTGGTAGGACTGTAACGATGCATCGAACTAACGATTGATTGCAATTGTTAAGTCTCCGATAGCAACGAAACGAAAATCTATCGAAGCATCGATAATATGTGTGACTATCGATAGTTACAGGAAGTACCAGATTCGTTCACTTTGATTTAAAGTTATCCGTCTCTGTAACAAACATCCATGATTGTTTACTTGATCTGGGTTTCAAGTTTCTTGTCGGTAATTAAAAGTCTGAAACTACCTCAACTTCCTCATATAAACTCTACATTCATTGGGAAATGACACCAAATGAGACAATCCAAGGAGAGTTGTATTGCAATAGTTGGTCGCAATAGACTATCGCTATCACAATAGTTGTTTGCCCCTCAATAGTCACTCCTAGTGATTGATGTAGTACGTAGCCTTTCACCGTCCCGTCGTCTCGGTCTGCATCGCCGATTGGTCAAGAAAGAGACATCTTCAACGACAAGAGCTCAGGTCAAGACGCAGACCATCCAACGTCAGTTAGCCCTTCATTACATGGAAAGTCATTTTTATCAGCTGATCTACTTTCGTCGAATGTCGAGCGACACATTGAGTCACTAGCATTAAAGACAAACGTCTCACTCTTCACCTTTGTAGGTCTAAACAGGATATGGGGTGACGAAACCCGATCGCACGTTTGCATGTACCTATGCCTATTACTCTATTTATAGACATGAATATGCAACAGCACGTCGGTCAGGTCTCAATGTGACTAAAGACGAGCAAGGAATATAGAATACATGTGAGCAATGGAACGGGTTGAAGATCATCTCCTTGGCGAACATACTTCAGAACAAAAACAAAAAACTGAACTAACTCCCGACATCGAAGAAGGACTGTTTGAAAGCGGGCCTCAAGACAATGTCCTCGCTGACCCCCAGTCCCCAGAAGGGGGGTGGGGCTGGGTGTGTGTCGTCGCACGGGCGGTCATGATGGGTATTGTGTTCGGCATCATGTACGGCTTTGGAGTCATCTATGTGGAGTTGGTAGATGTGTTTCAGTCTACTCGAACCGAGGCCGCATGGGTCGGATCTGTGGCCACCGGGGCATTACATTTTACAGGTAATTACCTCCTTGTATGGGGCGGCCATACTGGTATTTGACAAATACTTTGTTTCATTGTAGGTGAATGAGTGAGTTTAAATTTATCATTACTGCCACTATATCAGTCATACATGGATAAATCGGTATCTTGGTATCTTCACCAGTTTGTAAAGTAGGAACTAACGGGACAGTTGACTCGGTTCATGATTACTATTATATCCCGGTTCATCACATCAATACTCATCATCGTATCGCCGTCGACCCGTGACGAATTGGTGTTAGAATAGGCCTTCAGCAGCACATTCGTAAGGTAAGAGGCGACTAGACTGATAAGGTGGTGCGGTTTGCTGACTTGGTTGACACATGTCATTCTTCGCATCCCAACTGCATAGATCGATGTTTATCATGTTGATGACTGGATTGTTTGGTCCACGTCTCGCGATGTTTTCTATTAGTTATTGAGTCCTGTACGTTGGACCATACCATCATTATCGGTGTAGGTTAGCATGTATTTTACATGGGCCATATCTCCGGGCGGACGCTACAGCACGGTGGCGGCCTCCAACGTTTGAAGCTATAGTTTCGACATCAAAGTGTTCTTCACCTCAGTATCGTTGGGAGCTATTTACTTGTGTGTCTAGTCCGTGATAAATATCATGGTCATTCTCATATTACAATTATTAACCGCCACACTTCAAACCAAGGCTTGCCCATGACATTTCGTACCTCTTTTGTACTGGTTCCCAAAGCTAAACAGTCGGAAATCTTTCTGGGTTCACAAAGAATGCATCAGGATTCTGTCCCAAAGAAAAACCATAATCTTTCATACAAATAGAGGAGAGCCATGTCACTTACGGAATAAGAAACAACTCGAATACATACTGGATGGATGTTCAAAACAAAGGATTAGGTTATTTTTTTTGTAATCTCAGAAAAAACCCAAATGCAATTGTGTCAATGAATGCAACAACACCACAACCATAACTAAACTCAGTTGGTCTTACCTTGTTTTATCCAACATATTGTAGATTTAGTGACGGGAGGGTGTTGTTACTGGATTGATATGGATACATGTGAACAATTGTTTTTCATATATCATTCACCTTTGCTATTTGACTCTCGGGCGGTGGGGTAGCCTAGTGGTTAAAGCGTTGGCTCGTCACGTCGAAGACCCGGGTTCGAATCCCCACATGGGTACAATATGTGAAGCCCAATTCTGGTGTCCCCCGCCGTGATATTGCTGGAATATTGCTAAAAGCGGCGTAAAACCAAACTCAGTCAGTCAGTCATTATTTGACTCGCGATACACGTGTAACAGCATGCACTATTGTACACTATTGGCGTGCGGTCCCTCGTCACGTCACCCGACTTTACTGTGACTGGACCTCCATAAATTCCTCATGCCTTTAGTCCGATTGGTCGGGAATATTGCCTCGACAGACTCCTGAATACATCTCTAGGTGTCTGTAGCTAGCATCCCTCTGTTTTCCACATGTGGACCTCTATCCAGCCTTCTGATTGGCCGCTACGGCTGCCGTGTGACGTCAATAATCGCAGGATGTGTGGCTTCCATTGGTTTCCTGGCTAGCTTCTTCGCTCCAAACCTGCATTTCCTCTACCTCAGTTTCGGTCTGGTGGGTGGTAGGTTCATCCCTTCATGCCTCAACAACTATTTATTTCACGTTTGTGACATGATAATTAAGTTGTACTCAATGTCACTCACTGGAAACGAAAAGCAGATAAAGTTTGCTGTATATCCTTAGTCTATACTTGAATGTAGAATGAATTTATGTGGGATAATTTTAATGGTCACTTGTAAATCTCCAAGGTGAAGCTCCTTTCTAGGGGGTCCTTTCTGCGCTCCTGCTTTGTTAGGGTAGGAACAATCTGGATCAGATAACGGTAAATAACGGTATTGCCAATGTTGTATTTCAGGCACTGGTCTTGGGTTGGCCATGGTGCCTGCCGTGGTAGCTGTGTCCAGCTACTTCCGGAAGAGGAGGGGTCTGGCGCTGTCCACGTCGTCGGTCGGTGCTGGTGTGGGGACGATGTGTTTCCCGCCGTTGTTCAGGGTGCTGATAGAGGAGTATGGGTGGCGGGGCCTGATGCTGGTCCTGTCGGGGGTAGCCCTGAACCTGGTCGTCTGCGGGGCACTCTTCATGATGCCTGCTAAGTCAAACAAGAAATTGGAATCGAATGGTTTGTAAATGTAGCCATGATCTAGATGTTCCTCCGAACCTAAAACTTATGAAACTTGACCCTTTCTGTACAAAATATCCCAGCTTTCCTCTGACGCTAAATATGTCGTGATGACTCTCTCAAAGAAGCCCGAAGCTGCTTATAAGTTCGAATCTCATCTATCACGGGAGGAAAACATCATCGTTATGACGATTACTTGACACTTTTACTTGTAATTTCACACACAATACACCTAATACATAGAAATCTAAACATAAGAGTATTTGTCGTGACATAGTTTGGTATCTAGGTTTTTCTAAATGTATCAGAATGTTTAATTTAAGACTAAACTTAAATAACTGTCGGAGATACAATATATTAAGCTAAGTGTAACTTGACATACATTGATGCTCATTGTCTGTCAGAACTGCATCTGTTTTGTGGGTAAAGCATATAATCTTTATTACTCGAACATAAGCAGGAAACATTAAATTCAATGCTCTGCAGCCTGTTTCCTCATTCCGTGCAGAGAGAGTCGTGGTTGGATAATAAAAATAATAAGTGCATTTATATTGCGCTATTTCCATCCGTTGCGGTTGCTCAAAGCGCAGGTATTAAGGATACTACTTGGAGAAGAGATGGGTTTTCAGTTTGGACTTGAAGACAGCTAAAGATGGGGAGGTTTTGATATCAAAAGGAAGACAGTTCCAGAGAGAGAGAAGGAGCACATCATTGGCCGAACCATAACAAGAGACGTTGAGAGATGGTCCCTCTCCTCCGCGTGGCATATCAGATGGCTGAAGCCGGCATAAGACCGGACTGGTACAGGCAGTCACACTTAAAGACACCTACATCCTCGCTTCATCAGGGTGATCATCCTGACAATTTAACCCCTTGTCACCACCTTTGCTCACACACCGAGTTACTTGTTACAGATCATGTCCAGAAGACCGGTATATGTTCCCGATGCACCCGACAATACAACGACTTCTTCGCCGTGCTGCACAACCGCGCCTTCACCGTCATCCTCGTCATCATCACCACGACCTACCTGGTGTACATCGTCCCCTTCGTCCACCTGCCCGACCTGGCTCGTCTCACGGGAGTAACCAAGGGCAACGCATCATTCCTCGTCTCCATCATGGGTATCGCCGGTATTGCCGGGAGGCTGGTGTTTGGGTTCGTCTCCACCCTGGAGTGTGTCAGCGTGTTATTATGTCACGCGGGTATGCTGCTCGTCTGTGGGGTAGCGACGTTGCTGTGCACGTTGATACACACGTACACGCTGTTTGCTGTATATGCTGCCGTGCATGGTGGTTTTATAGGTGAGTAACCATGACGACATAATTCTGTACTTCGTACGATGTGTACATTTAGTCACAAGTCAGTGTATTCTGTATAGGAGTTTATTTTGCTAGGTCGAATACATATCAAGAATAGACGTTACTTGCTCTTTGTACAGGATACGGGTAACCAAGGATACAGGATACAACAATTAGCTTACTATATTTGTGGTTAATAGTGCTGACATGCAAGGGAGTGGACACACGTTATGTGTCTTCATTACGATTATCAGTATGTGTATCATATATCTGAACAATAAAAAAGCATTGAAATGTCTGGACCAGACAATCCAGTGATCAGCATCATAAACATCGATCTACAAAATGACATGTGTCAACCAAGTCAGCGAGCCTGACCACCCGATCCCGTTACTCGCCTCTTACGACAAGTATGGTTTCAGAAGATCAGTTCTAACCACGGGTACTCGAAAACAGAGGCTACCCTCATACAGCAGGAACATGGCAATAAACAACGCTGTAAACAAACAGATATGTGACTATCTACACAGTGGTGTAACCGGCCATGAAGACAGGCACGGGGTCGTTGTGTTGTGATGATGTGGGTGTGGGTGGTCTTGTGCGTAGAGCTTAGGTCACAGATCAGCTGAAGTTAAGCAGCGTTGTTCACGCAGTCTTGTGTGGGTGACAGTGTTTGTCAGCTTCACTCCCGAGAGTTTCTGGGATTTCTTTCCTGCTCCACAACGAAGTAAATGTAACAAGTGAGTGCAAAATTGCCTCTGTTCGCCCAGCAGAAAATGGGTACACAGTGGGATGTGATTGTTAACCCTCTAGCGCCTCAACGGCAGCTTTGGTTATCCGGGGTAATGCAGCACAGCAAGTTATTGAGAATTTAAAGATTGTAAAAAACATTCACTCATTACTCATGTATTAAATGTGAATATTAGCAGAACATAACTCCAGATTCAAAGACAGGTGAACAGTTAGTATTTTGTCAAGTCACCATGGGCAGCAATGCAGGCTTCAATGCGGCGGGGCATACTGCTGATCAAAGAAGTTAGAAAGTCGTGGTCCAGGCTGTCTCAATATCGGACCACCTCTTCTTTCATTTCAGCAAAATTTGTCAGATTTTTTCTTATTGACACTTTCCTTCATAAGTCCCCAAACAGTTTCTATTGGATTTAGGTCAGGGCTAAAGCTTGGCCAATCTAATAATGTCATATTTTGGGTCCGAAACCAGGCCTGTGAATGCTTTGAACGATGTTTTGGGTCGTTGTCCTGCTGGAAAATCAAAACATTTCCATAGAACACGTGAGTAGATGGACGTAAATGTCTCTCGAGAATATCTGTGTACCGCTCACTGTTCATATCCTCTTCAAATACACAGAGGGGCGTTGCCCCTAACACAGATATGTCACCCCACACGTTACATTTCGGACTGTACTTTGGGCGCTGATACAAAGGTTTTTCAGTTCGTTTGGTCCAGAATTTCAGTGTATTAGGAAACAGTCACACAGAACTTTCATCTGAGAAAATCACATTGTCCGAGTTAAAATTACTATGTTGTAAGAACCAGTTCAACCTTCGCTCCTTTTGTTCAGGTTTCATGATGGAATTCCTCGACTTTTCTGCCAACCCATTGCATGCAGCTCAGTTCTAATTGTCTCCTTACAGACAGCCACAGTTCCTCTATCAATCATATCTAGCCTTAAGTTTTCTAAACTCCTTCGTTTGTTTTTAGAAACAAGAACACCAAGCCGCCTCCTGTCACCGACAGTCAATTTTTCTGGGCCTACCTGCGCCTCCCTAGTGCTCAATGTCATATCCATTTGCAATATGTTTCAAAACACGATAAACAGTGGACAAAGGGATGCCTGTTCTACTTGAAATCACTTGAGCTGATCTAATGTCCTTGTTATAATACTCTAAAATCAACTTCCTCTTCTCTAAATCTTCCATACTGAGGATCACTGAAAATGTCGTCCGCTAGCAAGTAAACAAAGGGGGATAACTCTTCACAAACTAATGAAAAAGGATTAAAGGAGTTGTCTCTCTTGGATGAAACCAAGAACTTGATAGCTGGTCAAGGTTCTTTATACTAGAAATCCAATTAAAACATATTCCTAAAATTCTCAATAATTTCTGGTCATACTATATGTCCATTATGTTCCATGTGCTTAGAGCGTGTCCGTGCGGCGCTATTATATGGTCTTACATTATTATTATGATTGCAGGCAGCTACACTGGTTTTATTGCGGTCGTGATAACGGAGATCGTCGGCCTGGACCAGACCGCCAATGCTCTGGGTATGCTGACCTTCCTAGGAGGAATCTGTATATTGCTGGCATCGCCTCTAGCAGGTGAGCAGACCGTACGAAGTAACAAACTGTTTAAGTGGTGTACTTTACTTCTCTGATATCTATTAAAGGCAATAATATAAATGTTAATGACTCACATGAAGCAATTCAAGGTGATGCAACAACAAACTTTGTTTTAACAATTAAACCTTGAATAACATCAGTATAGAGCTTTCCATAGACATGTCAAATCTCTGGTTACAACAATTAAACCTTGAATAACAGCAATATAGAGCTTTCCATAGACATGTCAAATCTCTGGTTACAACAATTAAACCTTGAATAACATCAATATAGAGATTTTCATAGAAAAGTGAAACACACACACACACACGCGCGTCTACACGTACATGCTTTAATAAGGTTTGAAACTGTTATCAAAGAAAATTCTTAAGACGATTATGAATTTTAAACGCCAATATTAGCAACTATCATGGCGACACAAAAAATGGGCCTCCAAGGTTGTACCCATTTGGAGAAGTACACGAGGGAAGGCCGTAGATTTGGTCATACTGACTAAGCTAAATCCATTCTGTAATATCTGCCAAAAATGTTGGGGTTTAAGGTATCTGGTATTAGAGATTATAACACACAACACAGTCGCCACAAGGGGCGATTCACATTGGATGTGTTTGGGGTCAGACCACATCTTTTATGATTTCGACATAAAGTTGATCAGTTTTGTCAAAGCTGTTCAGTACATAAACCTTGAATGAATAGGTATTTTCATAGTAAAGATTGCATACAGTGGAAATAATAAATTATGTGACGAAGACACCTGTGTCACTATTGTGACACTTATGTGACACTTATGTGATACTTATGTAAGTACATGGATGAACAACTGATATATTACATGTAGGAACGACGTTCTAGTGTTATGGGCTTGGCAATGGTGCCAGAGTTTACATCGAAAAGAAGTGTTATTCAAAAGTTTTTCCTCCATATATCTTATCCTCACTTGGTGCTCCGACGTCCAAATACATCACATATATTTTGGACGTCTTATGAAATTATTCCAGGCTATAGTTTAACACATATTTTTTTATGACCCGTTGTTGTATTTCAGGCTTCCTGTACGACACGACCGGAAGTTACCTGACGTCATTCTACTTCACCGGGGTTGTGTTTTTAGTCTGTGGATTTGTCTACGTCGGACTCATTCTGTATCGGAGACATCAACGTTTACATGTGTCTATCAACTAGATTCTACACCTAAGCAGACAATTCATTCAGGGGACCAATCATTAGATCATCTTCTTGGTCACGTGCAATGGCGTCTGCCAATTAGATTATACCTCACTGTACACTTTGGAGGCCGATCTTTTCATATTCACGGGGTCTGCAGTTCTAGATAGAAATATATATGTGTCCCACACCCCTACTGTCCAGGAGAGAGTATATCGTAAAGGAAGAATTGTTCAGTAGTTTTGTACAACTGGTGCGTGTTTTGAAGCAGTGGGAATGTTCTATCCCTATCACCTATCCCTGATCCAGCCACCTACAGATTCACTGATGGACCCTTTTACCTTAAGACCTCATACTGGGGATCAAAGAGGCAGTCGGTGGTCAAGGTAACTACTACATAACCACCCAACATCATCCACTAAAATACCCATCTGTGTTGGAAAGTATAAGATGTCAACAATATGGGAAAACGCCTGAGGGTACAAAACGACATTTTACGACTCTTCACGTGTGCATTTTAAAATAAATGTCACGTTTGTGTGTGAATTGTGGATGGATTAGACATGAGTGCGTGAGTGAGTGAGTGAGTTGGCTTTTATGCTGCATAGAACGGCTTATCCTATTAAGTGACGGTGTGTCGTCTTGGTTTGGGATGGAAGCCAAGGTCACACAGGAGATATATAGCTGTGGAAATTAAAACATACACAATTCTAATATTTTAAACTTTGTTTTGTTTAATTCAACCACACCATAAGTGAGTGAGTGAACGAACATTTACGTGCACTTAAGCGCTATCACGTTAGCTTTGTATAAAACCCAACATACCAGTTTAGGTAAAGTGCACACGCTTGGTGCAGACAAACCAGGGAAGGATCCGAACAACTCTGCATACCTTCCTTGAGGGGCATTTAGAAGTTGGGACAGTAAGGAAGGAAGGATAACAATATATGGATAACACTGCATAGGCCAGTGTGGCACCATGGACGACTGAGCCATATACTGGGTCCAATCACTGACGTTACATGAAGCAGCACAGCATCGTGCATTATAACAAAGGGGTACAGGGTTGATTCCTGTAACAGGTTCCCCAACCAGTGTGTTATTGCCAATGTGAATGGGTTCCCCCCATATCATATCTCTACCTTATACCCATAATGCATTTCGTCATCATGAGGGGCTCTTCAACTCCAAGTTGACCCGCGGATATGACATATGGACAGTGAAGGGAAACATAAGCACAGTAAAGCATATATAATATAATTACAACCCTTCCTGTATGAACATCTATCAACACAACAGAAAGTGCTTTCAGGTTTGTTTATTATTTGAACTTTGCAGAAAGAATCGTTACATCATTCCACCTACAAACAACTTATGGATACATGGTTACATAACACACGTTACAGTTGTTATTGGTGGTATTGACAATTCTCAATAGAGTGACGTACTATTGACTGTGAGATTCCGCCATTCCTCATCGTAAAGGTTAAAGGGCAAGTGTACAAGAAAATTAACCTTGTTGTCTTGCACTTTTTCATCATAAAAAGTGTTTATCAAGTCGTTTTATATCCAAACCCGTACATACATCAGAAGTAACTAATTTATTATTTGCGTTATATCAATTCATATTTTCGACATTTACCAAGAGTTCTATGTCCACAATAAACACACCACGGCTTATGTCCCTTGGAAATGACGTCATTGGTGCCCAAACGATAAACGAATGACGTCGTCAGACCTTATTAGACCCATTTCACGTGGTGCAGGTATAGGTGTGGTTCTTGTGTCTCGATGCGCACGCTACTGTTTTAATCCACGTGTGTCTTGGCCGTCAGCTGACTATGTGGTAAGTTCTACACTGTAACGACGTTGCAGTTTGAAAAAACGAATACATTGTACTCAAAGTGTTAACACGTAACCAAATTGTATAACATATTCAACCTGAGTCGGTCGCCTTTCCAACAGTATCTTTTTTCATGAAACCTAAAACGTATATGCACTACATCTTGCTTGCCATCGGTGAATGTGCCTGCATTCTACGTTTGTTACTAAAGTTCCTACATAAATAGTACGATATGTCAGCCTCTTCCACCTAATTCACTTTGATATCGATAGTACATACATCATGCAGATAAATGCAATTTGCAGTTTTGAACACTGTTTGAAATTCGTTTTTCTATGATATCATCCGCTCATTGTAGATAAAATTTACTGAAAATTACATGCATCGTAAATCTCGCCAGTTTTGACACATTACTAAAACCATTCAGTGCGTTTTGCGTAATTTATGGTATGTCTTAATTCAAACGTCAAATTTTACTGGGAGAATATTGAATTTAAAAGAAAAGGACGTGATCATTGTGATCAGCGGTAGTTTTGTTGTTGTATGATCAAATCACCAATACTCGTTCTGAAACATTATCAATGAACTGAGAATCGCTGAGAATGTTTTGGAAAATACGCAAACGTCAAAGTGAATTTTCAGCCATATTACATAGTGTTTATAAAATCACGTCACATGTATGTTGGTTATGTTTCGTCCATAAAATTCAACACCATCTTCCTTACATGAATCCCTGAATTCCTCATACAGTTCAAAATAAGCTGACAAATGGACTTTGTCACCAATACGAAGTGTTTCAGTGAAATCTAACGAATATATCGAGGATATGAGATGCCTCGCTGTGAAAGAATACTTGTTTGAAATGTATGCAAAGCCAATCTCAGATTTTACACTATGTATCCGTTCGCCTACTTGTTGCATACAATTGCTCATTAGTTTTAGAGCATGCATTTGAAAGGTATCGTAGCAAGCGATAGTTAAATAAAACAGGTGTATTCCAATGATTTTCTAGATTCATCACAACATATTATAGTTTTTGAAAGCATGACACCATAACTGACGCAAACTCACGCACAACGATGACGGTACTTCTCTTAATTTCTGACTATTTCCCTTGGTCACAATGAAAACAAAAAGAAAATAACAACCAGCAGACTGACAGAAGTTTGGGACTACTTACATGGCACAAGGGGCGGTGGGGTAGCCTAGTGGTTAAAGCGTTGGCTCGTCACGCCGAAGGCCCGGGTTCGATTTACCCACATGGACACAATGTGTTAAGCCCATTTCTGGTGTCCCCCGCCGTGATATTGCTGGAATATTGCTAAAAGCGGCGTAAAACTAAACTCAGTCAGTACATGGCACAATTTATACGTTGCATATACGTTGCTTGAAACAACGAAAACTTCCTTCGAAAACTCCGGCGTACTCGTATCAGTGAACACGCGATTTTGAAAAAGTCGCTTCCCGATAGTGATGTCATACGAACGTCAACATTGTTATACATATTTGGTATTTTCATTGAGGCGAGGTTATGAATGAAAATACACACGATCCTGCTGCTTACATTTTCTGTTCTTATGCTTCTTCGTATTTTCACAAACTTTTTTCACGTGATTCATATCAGTAGTATTATCTTTTGATTTGGGACTAGACAGGAGACCAGTTTAAAATCAAGTGGCACCAATTACGTCATAATCAAAGGGCGGTAACTCTGGCCTGTTTAGCTCGGCAAACAAATACCTCATATTGGCATAACATTTCAGCACTTTTTTTGAGGGTTATACTTACATTGTAAGAAAAATGAGTGTATATTTTCAAACATAGGTATTAACTAATTAAAACAGTTCACTTTGATTCGCATAAGAATAAATGTGATTTATTCGTGTACACTTCCCCTTTAACACAAAACATAACCACTGTCCACATATCACTTTTGCCAAGTAACCATTGTTTCTGTATTTCGTGATCTGTGACGTCATTAAACAATTGAAGGTGACGTCAATGAACAGTCACACTTGTTTACAGTGTTTTACTGCAGAATAAAACGGATAATAAAGAAATTATCACACTCGGGCAAGTGTGCAACTTGTAGGAAACTCGCGCAAAATTTCACACTCGTTTCGTATAAATCGTATGACACACTTGCTCGTGTAATAATCTCTATGTATACAGCCGTGCAACAAATGTTACGGAACGATGGATCTAACTGAACAAGGCTGTCCTTTATGTCCTTCCTCTTCAGCCCCCACGTTGAAAGCAAATAACATTCAAAACATGTCATGCACACAAATACGCTACACAGTTTCGAACTAATTGACCAGGTAATGTCCTGTTTTTGATATCTGAAGCAAAGCAAAAGTGTTGTAAATGACCTTGCAAAATTGGGTACATCTGAAATGTCGCCATTTTTTGACACATTACGAAATCGGCGATAATTGGAGTATGTTTTGAAATATTGAAATAGCACAATTATTCGGAGGTTTGAATTTCAAAAGTAGCATATTACTGACCAGTGATAACTGTTTTTCATCAATGGTAAATCTAAAAAGTCACTGATAAACTTAGAACATTTCGGGATGTTTTAAGAAATTACACGAACGCGAACGCCGATGTGAGCTTTCCACCACCTTGGATAGTGTTTACACAATCACGTTTCGCGAAGGCCGGTCATGATATGCCTATTACATCACGTAAATTTCACCATCAGCTGCGACAAATACATACATGATTTCTCATACATTTTAGAATCAAGTAACAAATGACTTTTGTCACCAGTACGAAGCGTCTAGATGAAATCAAACGAAATATATTGGGTATGAGAACGAATTCTGTACTCATAGGACTTTTGTTTGAAATGTGAACCAAGAAAAGACATGCATGTATTCATACTTTACACTGTGCAGTATTTTCTCAGATTCGTCTCATTCGTGCATTCGTTGCATACATTGGCTCAATATATTTGAATATACATGGGAAGACAAATAAATTGAAAATAATTAGAATACAATGAACTAAGGAATTCAAAGAAAATTGCAAAGTTTCCTTCCTGTGAAACGCCATGATTGACGAAACAGCACGCACAAAGACAACGGCATTGATGAGTATTTCTGACACCTTCTCTTGGTTACAATTAAAGAACTAATTATAGTACGCACTAATCAGGAGGTTTCTGATTAATGACGTCATATAATTATGTACAAACAATACCATGAATCAAGGGAGGTCCCTGGCACAATCCTGGGACCAATGTCTGAATTTGTAAAAGGTAGGTCATCGTTGATAGTTTCTTTGAGGTGAAGATCGGTTGAATGAGAGTAAACACAATTTTACTGGCTTGCTGCTTTCAGTTACAGTATTCTAATGTTAATTTCAATTATCTTCATTTTCTTTTCCTCAATATCATATACGTGGATATAGTGAGTGAGTTTAGTTTTACGCCGCACGCAGCAATATTCCAGCTATATGGCGGCGGTCTGTAAAAAATCGAGTCTGGACCAGACAATCCAATGATCAACAGCATCGATCTGCGCAGTTGGGAACCGATGACATGTGTCAACCAAGCCAGCGAGCCTGACCACTCGATGCTGCTTGTCGAACCCGTTAGTCGCCTCTTACTTCAAGCATGGGTAACTGAAGGCACATTCTAACCCGGACCTTCACGGGTTACGTGGATATAGACAGTGTATTTTTTATCCTTTGAAAGTTTTTGTGTGTTTGAACAATATTTACACCAAAAATTGACACATTTAGTGTAGCATTTATGTTAACCATGTGTTAAACCTTTGTACAAGCCTTCGAAGATGAAATGAAGGCATAACTGGAAGATGTACCTTAATTAGCGCAGACATTATTCAAATAGTAAAATCATCCATTCCATTTTCTGTC